CTCACTCAGAGCTTGCTGGTCCCCAGCAAGTCCCACCAGGTGGGGAAGCAGCAGCTCAGCAGGAAAAAGGAAGCAAAGGATGTAAACAAATCTGAAACGCAACCACAGTGAGTTTGCTTTCTGTTCGCACACGGTCTGCAGGGCACAATGCTTACGTTCCTGGTATGGTGTTAGTGCCTACACATGACGCATCTTAATTCTCGGTCTTCTCCCTTTTCTGCCCTTCTGCCCCCTCCATCTCTCGATCCCCTCACCATTTAAGAAACACCTATCTCCCTGCTTCCTATAACAGATTTTTACTTTGCTCTTCATGCATAGATTGGGTTTCTCATATAAAAGAAACCATGTGCACTGAGGGGTTTTGCTGTTGTTGCTTGCTTTTAAGGGACAAAGAAGAGTTTATTGATCACACTGCATGAAATCAGCAGGGTGAATCCAAGAGAAGACTGTGCTGCCAGTTGCGGAAAAAAACAGTCCCATCAGCACTCAGGAGGTTGAGGCAGAAGATCACTGAGCCCAGCCTGAGCTATTTAGTGAGTTTGAGATCAGCCGGAGCTACTTAATGAAACTGCCTCAAAAAATAAAAATGGTAAAAGAATTTTAAAGGTCCAAGCGGAATTAGCAAATGTGTATGGGCTAACTAAGGTTAGTGGTGAAGGTCAGAATAATACATATATGCATTCATACATAAATGCATCTGTTGGGATGGGGAAACAGGACCAACAGTTAGATCCTTTCCTGATGTCTGCACAGTTCTTGTAACGTTGGTGGAAAGTTAATGTTGTATCACAGACACAGGGCTCGGCTCAGCATTAAAGAAACACTGGTGAAATAACCCTGGCTCCACACAGTCCCCTTCTGTCCCTGCTGCTAGTGTCTAGGCTGGGTTCAGGCCACTCTGATACCACATGCCCACTGTTTGCAGAGCCACAGGGAGCAGACAGACCCAGCCTTGTCCCTGAGAGTTCTGCGTGTCCTGGTGCGGTGAGTATTAACAAGTTCAGAAGACTAGAGATGATGAAACTTGCTCCAGACATCACATGGGGATGGAAAAGGGAGACACACCAGCAGAGGTCTGAGCATGGTGGCTGGGGCAAAATCTTCTGGTGCTTATCCCCTGAGGTAAGTCCTTGCTGCTCCCTAAACTAACCACCCTCTAGTGTTTTCTCAGGCATCCCTGTCCTTGCCAGATTTTCTCAGGATTTCTTTTGCCTGCGATGAAATCTATATTCCTTGGGGACCACAGAGACAGTTGGCACGGTGGTAGGGCATGGAGTAGTCCCCATGCCATTGCTCTGGGCTTATGTTGGTTCCAATGAAGAGGGGGCGCCCCATCTGAACCCCACTTTCCAAGTCATCTTGACAGGACCACACAATCCCTGTGGGATCTAGCATTGCCCTCTACAGATCTCCAAACCCTTGCTATGTGAACAATAAGGCATTAACAGCATTCCTAACTGGGAGACTTGAGGCCTGTCCTACAGCTGTTGGCCTTGACATCCCTGTGTGGTCAGGGATGTCAGAGGCCTTCCAGAGGCCCTCCTCTTCCCTGTCTTCTCCTCCCTCTTCTCTCTTCAACTTGGAAAAGCATTCTGTAGACTAAGTGGCATTAGAGAGAGAAGTGAGAGAAAAATTATTCTCCTGGGCATAGTCTTTCAAATCTATACCTGGGCCAAAGCCCTCAAATCAGCCTAGAATTTGAAACCTTTGTTCTTTGGGTCTCCTGTAAGTTCTGCCCTAAAGTAAATACAGCCCTGTCTTAGTCTGTTCGGTGCTATATAACAGAATACCACACATGGGTAATGTGCAAAGAACAGAGATTCATGTCTTACAGTTCTGCCTGGAAAGTCCAGTCAACAGCCATCCTCTGGCAAGGACTGTTTTGCTGCTCCACCATTCCATGGGGGTGGGAGGGAAGCAACTTGACTTTATGATAAGCTCACTCATCTTTTTTGAAACAGGGTCTCACTGTGCAGTTCAAGCTGACCTTGTGCTCACTCTTATAGCCCCTAGGCCAGTCTCCAATTTGCAGTGATCCTCCTGTGTCAAATTCCCAAGTGCTGGGATTACAGGAGTGCACTACCATGCCTGGTTCTGGGGCCAGTGTGGCACAGTGTACCCCAGGGTTCTGCAGCCCCCACTTCATGTGGGGCTGAGATCAAACTCCAGACCTTTTGCTTGCCAAGCAGGCTCTTAGACCACCGAGCTATCTCCCCAGCCCCAAGCTCACTATTGAGATAATGAGATTAATCCATTTGAGAGAGCAGAACCCCATAGCCTACTCACCTCTTAAAGGCCCCAGCTCTTAACACCCCCTGCACTGGGGATTGGGATGAGAACACAATCGAGCCTCAGCATTCTCCTTCTAACTCCCAATGACAACATTTCTGTGTTAAATATCAGGGAGGAGGGGGGTGTAGACAGAAGCCATAATGAGATCACAGAAAAAGAAGTTCATTGGTCCCCATCACTGCAGCCAGGGCGCTGTGAATGGCTTGAATGTGGCAGTCCAGCTGGGAGGCAGGGGCGAGCCTCCCGCACCCATCTCTACACTGCTGTCCTTGCTCCTCTGCCCATGTCTCTAGGGATGCAGGCAGATGCTGCCCACCAACTCCCTCTCCTCTTAAATTCTGAGAACCATGAGTGAGAAGCAACAGAAATGGTGCTGGAATGATGCGTATTGACAATACTGTGCCTCAAACTTGGGAAGATGCTATTTTTTATTTTTAATCTAGAGAAGGGTCTACAGAGTATTCAGGGCCTCACTACTAGATCGAACTCATAGTGATTCTCCTATTTAAAGCCTCCCAAGAGCTGGAATTACAGGTGCACACCACCATGCCATCTCAGTGGCTGCCTCAGTGCGACCCAGGGGTGGGGCCGGCATGGCAGGCCTGGGGATCAAACCCCTGGACCTTGCACCTGCTTGTGGATGCTTTAATCTGCTGAGCTATTTGGCTGGCCCTGGGAATATGCTATTTATGACAAAGTTACATAAGTTAGGATGAAAGGAGCAAAAGGCTAAGCCTGGCACACTGGAGCATGCAAAGGCTCCTGATGAACACTACCTTCCCCTCCAGAAGTACAGATGTTAGAGATTCTCTCATAGGAAGCATAAAGCTTCGTCATGGCTCTTGCTTCCAGTTTCTGTCTACAATGAGTAAAACTACTATGATCATTTTTATACAACTGAGGTGAGTTTTTATTTCTCTGCACAATAGTTTCCCAATTTTCCAACACATTGCTTGGTCTGATGCTATTTTATACAAGTAACGCACTGGTAGATGTATTCATATTATATAGCTGTGTAAGTTTTTGATTTCAGTATTTTGAATAAAATTAATTTAGAGGTAGAGAAATACATTTTTGGGGGGAAGAGTCTACAGGGTGTTCAGGGTCTCACTACTAGATCAGACTGATAGTGATCTGCCTGTTTACAGTCTCCCAAGAGCTGGAATTACAAGCATGTGCCACCACGCCCAGCCTCAATTGCCATCTCAGTGCACCCCATGGGCAGAGCCAGCACAGCAGGCCCAAGGATCAAACCCCCGGCACCTGCACCTGCTTGCAGGCACTTCAATCCACTGAGCTATTTAGCTGGCCCAAGAAATATATTTTATCATCTTTCCATTTACATTATCAACAATATAGAAGGACAAGCACAGAAGTAAATGGAAGCCAGCACCAAACCTAAGAGTGAAAAAAGCCTTAAAAATTGGAATATATAATTAACAAATTTAAAAGTTGCACGTCTTATTCAAAATAAGCAGCCAGTACCCAGCTTCAGCCAGTTCATCAGCAGACCAAATATTGTCAAATCTAATTTTCCAAAGACAGATTGTGTGTGTATATACATGTATACAATCTCCTAAACCTAAATACTGGCCAATAAAACAACAAAAAAAGTTGACCAATGACAGATGAAAGCTGTCCAACATCAAACAATGCAAGATAAAATACAACTGCAGGCCAAATGTGGCCCATGGCTCACAGCATCCACCTAAGGCTTTTGTTCTCCAGCCTCACTATAGCCAAAATGACCATTTAGCTTTCTAAAAAACATAGTATACCTGAGTCTTATTCCAGGCTCTGATTTAGGAGATTTGGAGCGAATCCTGAAAATTTCTATATATTTTTAAAACACTGCAGAATTCACACTCATTCACTAGAGCTGAGAAGCAGGAAGTCCAATCCCAAATTGTAGTATTTCATCACATATCCCAACTCCAAGTTCATGTTCAGAACACACTGAAGCTCTCCCAGGCCAAGTCTACCTGTTTCCAGACTCAAGTAGCCATGTGGGGGTCACTGAGTTTTAACTGGTGACACACACACAAAACGAAAACTGGCTTTCTTGCCTTCAACTTATTCGAATCGAACCCAATTTTCCGTGTTTGCAGATATTATATTAGCTGGCCTTTATGAAAGAAATTTGGTTCTGAGTTAAAAAAAAAATGTTCACACCAGAGATCCTGGGGATTTGTTTTTCACATACAAGGTAACTATAGGAATAAAAGCCTGTCCCAAACAAGAGATAAGAAAAGAAGCAGAAGAAAGCAAATAAGAGACACAGTATGAGATTTCATAACTTACCAAGTCAGATGGGTCTTATGAGGTGTTCAATCCAATGAGCTTCCAAAACATATGAGCCTTTATGAAAAACTGAGACAGAGCAGTAACCAGACCCAGTCATTATTTGCATGCCAGGTCTCAACCTGTCATGTAACAAACAAATGAAGGAAACTTAGAAATAACCATTAACTAAAGGGAAAAGTACAGTATCACTGAGTGAAGGCCAGAGGATCGCACAGCAGGCACCAGTTCCTGAGGTAGAGACCTGAAAGTTAGGAAGAAAGAATGGCCGTAGTGCAACGAGATGCCACTGCACAAGACCCTACTGCCTTTAGAGTCACCTTCACGTTGGTGGTCTTCGGCACAGAATGCGTAAGTGGTATACTTGGGAATGGCTTCATTGCAGCTGTCTATGGGGCTGAATGGGTCAGGAACAAAAGGCTCCCCACTGCCGATGGCCTTATGCTGATGCTGAGCTCTTCCAGGCTTGCACTACAGATTTGGTTGATGGTGACTTTTATGTTCAGACAGTCCTTCCAAGACGTTTATTACCGAAAGTCATTGGACCAGTTCTTCAGAATCACACTTTTGTTTCTGAACTATGCCAACCTCTGGCTTGCGGCATGGCTCAATGTCTTCTACTGTCTTAAGATTGCCAGCTTTGCCCAGCCTTTGTTCTTGATGCTGAAGAAGAACATTGGGGTGTTGATGCCACGGCTCGTGTGCCTGTCACTGCTGGTTTCCTCAGGCATGTGCTCTCTTTTTTTTATAAACACCTTCAACACGTATGTGAACAGCTCCATTCCCGTCACTTCCGCCAACACCACTGTGACGAACATCATCACGGAGACCAATGTGGTCAACCTGAGCTTCTTCTACTACCTGGGGATCTGCATTCCTCTGCTCCTGTTCCTCACAGCGGCCACACTGCTGATCCTCTCTCTCAAGAGACACACCTTGCACATGAAGAGCGGTGCCACGGGCTCCAGGGACCCCAGCATGGAGGCTCACTGGGGAGCCATCAAATCCACTAGCTGGTTTCTCATCCTCTATGTAATCAATGCACTGGCTATATTTATAAACATAGCCAGCATCTTTGACATATACAGCCCCTGGGACATTGTGTGCAGATTTATCATGGCGGCCTACCCAACCAGCCACTCAGTGCAGCTCATCCTGTGTAATCCTGGGCTGAGGAGAACCTGGAAGCGCTATCAGCACAGAGTTCTGCTTTATCTCAGAGGATAAATTCACTGAGTGAAAACCAAGAGATACCCAAGCTCAGGCCCAACCACTCTGCCTTTTCCTCTCCTGAATCTCCCTTCACCCATTCTGTTCATCAGCAAATCTGCTCTGATATTTCTTCTCAGATTACTGAATTAGTTCATGACTGTGAAGTCAAATCTTTCAGTTCCAATTTGAAGCAACAATAGCTAATAAACTTGAAGAAGGACTTAGAAAAGCTCCTTGATCCAGATGCATTGATATTGTTCCTAGGCTGTTGCCTACCCTCCCTTTACCCTGAGCCTTAAGGAGGTGACTAGATCTCAACTTGCCTATGACAAGGTTTGCTCAATATCTGTTGCCCACTGAGAACCATTTAATTCTCAAGGTTATCTTGGTCTGAGTAAAAACAAACAAACAAACAAAAAAGATACAGTCATCTACCCTACCCGAGTTAGAGGCAGGAAGGCCCATGAAGAGACAGCATGCAGGCCAGGAGGGAGAAAGAAAACCAGAATGCCTACAATTGGAAAGAATTCTAGAAGGAAAGGCTGCCAGCACAATCAAGTGCTGCAGGTATCCCATGGAAAGTGAAGCTTGGAGAACAGCTTTGCATGGGATGAGGAGGGCAGAGGCCCTGTGCACTGACGGGACTGGGAGGACAGCACCCAGATTCCAGGGCTTTCCAGGCATGGTGACTAGAAAGCGAATGTGTAGACAAAGACCAGCAATGCAGGAGGTCATCCTTCAGGAAAGATGAAGTAGAACAGCGCAGGTAGATGGTCAGCCTAATGGCTTTTGTTGTTGTTGTCGCTGCCACCACTGCGGTTGTTTTAGTTTAGCTTGATTTGGTCTAATTTGTTTTCTTTGTTGTTCAGGGCTACAGAACAACTGACCTGGGGCTTTTGCACAGGGTTACTTCCTCAGACCTTTTCTTATGTTTTCATTTTGAGACAGGATCTTGCTAGGTCCCTAAGTTAACCAAGCAAGGCATTACTTGTAATTCTCCTATCTCAGTTTCTCAGAGTGCTGGAATTGCAAGCATGAGCCACCAGTGCCCACCTTGAATGTCTTATTTTCCAAGTGGGAGAAGGTAAAATGGGAAGAGAGGAAAAGAAGAATAAAGGAAAAGGAGTGAAATGAACAGAAAGCAGAAAGAGGCCAGAGCAAGGGAGGCCTTTTTTTTTTATTTTTCTTAGTGCCAGGTCTGTGGCAAAGCAATCAGCACCTGTGCCTCCAGCTCTACCAGTTCTGGGCCATTTGGACAAAAGAACGGCCAGGACAGGTCACCAGGGAGTGGCTGTTTGAGAAAGAAAACATTCCTTGTCAGGAAGGCATTGTTACCACTGTCACAATAGGTCATTCACCAAACAAGGCACCTCCCCCTGGGACAGCTTGTGCTGGACAAGGAGAAATGTCAGTTTTTCTTTACGTAGGCATTTTTAAAATTGTAATTATTCAATCAGGTGTAAAAAGAATGCTGCTGATCATCACAAGCTTGAGTAGCCCTCCAATAAAGGTGTGAGACTGGTAGCAGGGACTTAACCTTGTGTTCCTGGCTCCTGAGCACCTAGCTCAGTTCACTGACCTGACTCGCTCCATCCTGCTGGGGAACATGGTCCAGGGGAGGTGGCCACAGTCATGCTCATCCTGCGATGTGGCACTCACAAAAAGAAGTGAAGTTTTGCTGAACAGTCCTGCTTGTGAACCAAATTGTTCACACACAGATGCATTGGTGAAATGAGATATTTCTGTATTTCAGAGAGAGTTCTATGTATTAATACACTGTAAAAACACACACACATGTGCATGCACATGCACACCCTCACCTACACACCAAACTACCACTGAGATAGCTCAGCGAACTAAGCACCTGCTTAAACAAGCACAGGGACAGGGGTTTGATTCCCAGCACCACATGCCATGCCAGCCTCATCCCAGGGCACACCGAGACTGGGCATGGTGGTGCACACCTGTAATCCCAGTGCTGGGGAGGCTGAAAACAGCAAGATCACCACAAATCCAAGCTGTGTAGTGAAACCCTGCACACACAAAAAACATAATAGAGAAGTATATATTTTTCCCAAATAAAAAATGCCAATCAGCAGGCAAGCACACTCACTAAGTGTATTCTAACACATCACACAGAAAAATTTTAAAAATGTATTTAAAGTTGCCATTAATTGGATATAAACAATGCATCTGTGTGTGAACAATTTGGTTCCAAGACAACATGGATAATCCATCCCCAGATTTATGATGAAGAAATAATCGTTCCATCATTTGCTGGAGCTTAACAGAAGTGAGCTTTCAGGAAAGTGACATCCTTATTGATATTTTGTCTCACTCTGCCTCCAACCAAATAAAGTTCTCTCCGTATCTCTTTCTTCCCTTAATTCACTTTCTTTACATAAAGCCCAGCTAAACATCCAGAAAGGGCCAATGTACAGGGTCTTCAAATTAGTTCTTTTTAGACAGAAAATCCAAAGCTTAAGACAAAAATTAGATTTTGCTGGAAGAAAGTCTATAACTAAAAGCAAAGCCTGACTTGCTGTTGTCCCAACATCCTGGTTGGAGCCACCTGGCAGTCCCCTCTTGTCTTCCTCCCCAGCGGAGGGGGTATGGCTTCCTTTGCCCACACGCTCATTCTGGGTTTTACTCAACCACATGGAAGAGCTTAGGGGTACTTCGTTGCTGAGCGATTCCAGTCTGGAGGACACTGGAATTCTCCCCCAGGGAATTCTCGCACATGCTCAACTCAACCCAGCTGAGACGAGTCTTACACCAGGAGAGGGAAGTGGAAAGCAAGGCAGGAGTCAGGCCCACCATAGGAAAAGAGTGAAACAGAGACACGGAGACAAGGACCTTTCCCATCTGACTCAGTTTCTTCATCTTCTCTGGCAAGAGGTAGGATCTTGCCGGGCATGGTGGTGCGCACCTGTAGTCCCAGCTACTCAGGAGGCTGAGGTGGGAGGATCACTTGAGTCCAGGAGTTCTGGGCTGCAGTGCACTATGCCGATCGGGTGTCCGCACTAAGTTCGGCATCAATATGGTGACCTCCCGGGAGTGGGGGACCACCAGGTTGCCTAAGGAGGGGTGAACCGGCCCAGGTCGGAAACAGAGCTGGTCAAAACTCCCGTGCTGATCAGTAGTGGGATCACCCCTGTGAATAGCCACTGTACTCCAGCCTGGGCAATATAGTGAGACCCCTTTTCTGGAAAAAAAAAAAAAAAGTAGGATCTTTAGGGGAGACTTGGTGGGAGTAGAAATTGCTTACACATTCAGGAAGACTGGTTTGTGTGTGCAAGAGGAAGACAGTCTGAGGAGCTCAGCCCTCAATACTTCAAGGCTGCAGGAGCTTGCTGGACTCTTTTCCAAGCCAAGGAGAAGGCAGTTGATTCAAGGGAGACAATTGTCAGGAAAGGCTCCTCTCAGGTGTCCTGGGAAGAGGAGACCCTTCACACTGACCGATGTTGCTATAGATGAAAGATGTTAGACGCACCCTGGTGGCCCAGGGGAGATAGGGCTGGACAGGAAATGGCAGAGATGGCAGAAAGGATGTAGGGTAAGGCGCCAGAGCGGAAGAAACTGAACGGGAAGGTGTGAGGTGTTGAGTGCGGAAGTCAGTCTCAGTCAGTCTCCACTCAGAGAAGCTCGCCACAGACAGGGCCCAGGTGCTTGGGGATTCCGGCTAATGCACAGAAACTGGTAGTCTTCCCAGTGTAGCCCCCGAAAGGACCACCTCTAGCTGGGACACTTCCAGCTCAGGGTGGAACACTGTCCAGATGCTCGACTGTCAACCAACTTCCTTGGGGGACAGGTTTTTTTCTTTTAATGCTCTATCTCTCATTAGATTTTCACTTTTTTAAATAAATCATCTTATGTGTGTCTCATCTCTCAGTTCATCAGAAAGAGGGGGAAAAAGGAAAGTGGCTTTAAAGACAATCCAAAGGGAAAAAAATCAAGAAGCTCCTTAGTTTGGTGTGGCTGGACAGTGAGCAGGGGCCCAGTGAAGACTGCCAAGGTGAAAGGGGACTGGGAAAACCTCAGGGGCTCCTCAGGAGCTGCCCCACCCCCACCTCTATGCCATCTCTGGAGTCCACAAACAGCGAGAGTCCTGGCTCTGCTATTTCCTGAGATGGAACCTGGGCAGGTTCTGGAAGTTATTATCACAATCTAACATCCACCTCTTAGGTTCATCCATTGTATGAGATGAGTGAGCTGGTGTTGGATGAACAATGTGTGGTCCAGAGTAGGTTGCTGATAAATGTAAGTCTTCTCATTCTAAAGAGAAGCAAATGGAGGCTGGGAGGCTGGGAGGTTGGCTATCCGATGCGAGGATGTTCCAACCATGGCCACTTCTGGAAAGCTCAGAGCCCACCTAGACCGGGCCAGCTGCACATAGACAAGGTGGCAGAACACAGATGCAGCATCAGCGGTACCTCATCTGCCTGAGCAAAGGTGAAAAGAGAAAGCCTTCAGTCCTCTAACCCACTTGGCAACATCCAAAAGTCAAACAGCAAGCACTCTGCTTTAAGTGCTGCCTTCACCAAAACAGAGCATTCTATTAGGGATCAGCAAGTGTTTTCTGTCAAGGACCAGCTAGTCAGTATTCTTTTGCAGGAAACATAAAGTCCCTGCCACAAGTATTCACCTCTACTTCTATAACACAAAAGCCACCGGAGACAATGTATACATGAAAGGTCACAGTTGTGCTCCAAGAAAATGTTATTATGGAGACTAACATTGGAATTTGATATCATTTTCTTGTGTCATAAAATATGACTTTTGCCTTCACTTTTTTCAGTCACTTAAGAATGCAGAAGAAGCAGTCTAAGTTCCTAGAGAGAGAGAGAGAGAGAGAGAGAGAGAGAGAGAGAGAGAGAGAGAGAGA